AAGGTTCAGTTTAAACAAGGCATCTTGAAAACCCATCATCCCTAAACCGACTGGTCGATGTTTTAAATTGGAGTTTTCGGTTTCTTTAGGTAATATAGAATAATCATTGATATCAATCACATTATCGAGCATTCTCATTGCTGTTAGGATAGTTTCTTTGAATAACCTTTCATCTAATTTATTATCCGCAATGTGTTTAGATAAGTTAACTGAACCGAGATTACAAACGGCAATTTCTTCTTGGGAAGTATTGAGGGTTATTTCAGTGCATAAGTTAGAACAATGAACTATTCCAACATGGTCTTGAGGAGAGCGAACGTTGCACGCATCCTTAAAAGTAATCCAAGGATAACCAGTTTCAAATAAACGAGTTAATACTTTTTTTCATAATTCAAAAGCATTGACTTCTTTTACCAATTTAATTTTTCCTTCTTTGCTTAGTTGTTCGCAAAGAACATATTCCTCTTCAAATTTTTTTCCATAAAGATGGTGTAAGTTAGGGGTATCTGAAGGAGAAAAAAGAGTTCATTTTCCTTTATCCCTTACTCTTTTCATGAATAAGTCAGGAATTCAGAGAGCCAAGTTTAAATCATGAGTTCTCCTCCTTTCATCTCCTACATTTTTACGCAAGTCCAAAAAATCCTCAATCTCTAAGTGCCATGCTTCAAGGTAGACAACAGTTGCTCCTCTTCTTCGACCCGAACGATTGATCATAGAAGTAGTAGCCTCTGCGCCTTTTAAGAAACTTATTACCCCAGTTGATTCTACATCAACACTTTCAATAAGTGAACCAACCGCTCTTAAATTAGTTCAATCAGTCGCTACTCCCCCTGAATATTTTAGTAGGGTAGCGGTATCTCGGTAAGACTTAAAAATATGTTCTAAGTCATCTTCCACTGTGGCTAAAAAACAAGAACTTAACTGGGCTTTTTTTAAACCGGAATGGAAAAGGGTGGGGGTGCTGGGGACAAAACGAAAAGTAGACATTACATGATAAAACTCAATTGCTTTCTCATTTTTACTTTTCTCGTTTAATGCCAACCCCATTGCTACCCTCATTCAGAATGCTTGAGGAGTTTCCAGGATTTGTTCTTCCTTTCTTCAAAGATAACGACTATAAACTACTTCTAACCCTATATAGTTGAATAGATTGTCCCTTTCTAAAACTAATTCTTGACTCAATTTCTCTAAATCAAATTCCAATAATTTAGGATCAGCATTTTTTTTCTTTTTTTCCACCATTATTTTTAAACTGTTGATAAAGGACTGTTGATAAAGTTCTCGAAAATTATTAGAATTGACCTTTTTTCGAAAAACCTTTCGATATGTTTTTTGGAGCAACAGTTGAGTAGCAATTTTATCAAAGATTGGGCCTTTTTCGATAAGACTGGTAGCAGTTAAAATCAAAGTGTTGGTTATTTGGATAGTAGAGATATTATCAAAAAACTGTTTTTCTGCTTTAGAAATTAATAAATCCCGATTAGTAGTTTCAATTGAAATATTTAACTTTTCATCAAAGAAGTTTTTCAGTTTTTTTTCTTGAAAATTTTCGTGATTTAGACTTCTTTTTTGGATTGAAATAGAGTTGGACATATACTTAATTTTAAAAGCGATTTAGAGTTCTTAAAAATCTTCAGAAATATTATTAAAATTAAAGTATATGCCGATAATAAATGACCCCGATTTTGACCCAAATACAATTAAAGAAATAATCTATCCCTGAGCACGCCAATATTGAAAAGATGGAGTTGCTAATAATTGAATTCCTGAAGAAATTTCAATGGGAGAGGATAAAAAACAATGAAACTCTCCCATCTTTTTGAGCGAAGCGGAAAAAAAATTAATTCGTTATAATATCGGTTTCTTTTCTACTGCCGAGTTATTAACTGCCAATAACTTAATAGCTATTTTTAAGCATGTTACTAATACCGAGTGTCAACAGTATCTCTGTCGACAAATTTTTGAGGAAGCAGTTCATGCTGATACTTTTATTTATTGCTGTGAAAGTTTAGGTTTAGATTCTAATAAAATTTGAGACATGTATTTAACCGACCCTTTTATTAAAAGGAAAGATGATTTTGTGGTTGAATTAACTAAGTTTATTAGCCAACCCAACTTCACTACTCAAGGAGATGAAAACATTCGTCACTTTCTCCATGACTTAATTGGTTATTACGTGATTATGGAAGGGATATTTTTTTATGCTGGGTTTGCCATGATGTTAGCCTTGAAGCGGAACAAAAAAATGGATTGAGAAAATTTGAAAGAACAAGTAAAAAAATATGGCATGAGGAACTCTAACACGATGGCAATTGC